AGTTAGGGTGCAAACAAAAACACATTTCATATTTATATATATATATACAGATGTAACAAAGATATTTTAAAGACATTTTACAGTCAAATAAAATAACATATTCTTATTCTTCTAATCCACTTTTTCTCATATATAATGTTGAATATGCAAATTAACAAATCATATGACAACCACAACCAATACAAAGTCACGGTACAAAACTACATTTTGACATTATTTAGTCAAAAAAAAACACCAAAAACTGATCGCTTTTTGGAAGTTTATGTAACAGTCCTACCTGTAGCAAAATCATAAAGGCATGTCCAAATCATGAATTTAGAATTTCCAAGAAGGAGATATTCATTGTACCCAATGGCATTAGAAAACAAAGGAATCAACTTGGGGCACCAGGACCAACAAAAAAGAGACCTGCAATAATTCACACCCCAGCCTTGGTAAGTAAATTGCAGTGTTGTGTCACAGGTGAGAATCCATAAACACAAAGGCCAGTGGCAACATAATCAAGAAGGCTATTTATCTGGAAAAGTGACAATATTCATGTCTACACAAGTATTTTAATTGACATATCCATTTATATACCTCAATCAACTGACAATGAAATGGCTATTCATGCTATTCCAAACAAAGACATAGTGGACTTCTACCATCCTCATGAACCGGAAAGCAGGGAGTAGAGATGTGCCTTTAAAATAATAGGCTTACGACAGAGCCTTGTGCAATAAAAACTAAGTTGCAGGGCTATTGTCAAAATGCACAGCAATCAGATAGAGCCAGACTGAATGTGGCAATATGGACCGTTACGACACAGTGAGGCTCCAAAATAATTTTCAAATAATGCACTCAACCTTTTAATAATACAAATTTTTACAATTATTAATTTTTTATTAATAATTTTTATGAGCATTATTTTGCATCATTACCTTAGGTTATAAGTTTATCAGTAGCTCAAATCTCCTAAGCTGGCCAAACCTTATGAGATATTATTGGGATTATGGCCAATAACACTACTAACAGCAAGGGTACCCAACTGGTGAGTCAATACACTCTAAATCATTATAACTAAGAATGGCAAATGAAATCAACCTCGTTAATTACTGACCTATGCAGGTAGCTTGCTTTCATAAAAGTTATTGATTATATCTGAAATGTAATTTTTCTTTCAATGTTTTTAAACTTCTTTTACTTAACATACATGCATAAGGTTACTGCTCACACATTTACACTTATCTTTTGACCTTTAGAATTTTATTGAAAAAATTTAAATAAAATAAATTACCAAATTAACGTAATAATAATAATAATTAATGTAATGGGAACAGAGAAGTTATTTAGTAATTAATAAAAAAATTAACCTAATACACAAGTTAAAAATAATGAATAAATCATTCATTTATATAGTACATATATTTAATATGCTTAATAAAAGCTAGAGTTACTTTAAAAAACACACTACAGATCTTTGTTTAATTTTTGTGTGCAGAATTAAAATATAATCTAAACATAAAATAACACTAGAATATTTCAAAGTGTCCTGAGTTAGCTTACTACATCTGATACAAAACTATTTTTCATTCCTTTGTATTGGTTAGTTTCATTTGTTGCATCGTGTTATTCATTAAAAATAAATTCATTTTCACAACAAGCATATATATATTAACTTTAATTATTGTTTTAAAGTTTTCTGCTAGTTCATTGATGATGAATATAAACTATGCGTGTTTGTTTTTCAATCACTCAGTGTTTCTAACTCAAGAAAATACAAAACATATCCTCCAAAAGTGTTATAGTTAAGCAATAATCAAACTGTTACGAAATTAACTACCTACACGGATGTACGTAGACAAAATAAATAAAAAACAAACAAACATACTTATCATCAAGAGCATCTTCAAACTGGCCATGTACAGAAATCTCTGTTAAAGTCTCTGCCATATTTTCTGTTTATGCCACTTTTTTTTCTTCAGCCGTATAATGGTGTTCTCTGAATGAAAAGAAGTGATCATATTTTCAAACGTTGTTCTGTTTTGTCTGTTTTTTTGGGGGGGAGGGGGAAGACGTATATATTTCTCACCTATTCAGCTCCATGACAACCAAATTAAGTCAATACGTAAGCTTACTACAACTATCGAGGTGCCAATCGTAAACATTACGAAAACCGAGCATTTTGAACAGAATGAAATGGAAAATCTCTGTAAAATTTGAGTATGATGCTAATAAAAGTTTACCAATCAGAAGATTTTTTATAAATAACTTAAATTCTGTAGGAACTGAACTCTGCGATGTATTTATTATTCACCCAAGTCACCTGAAACAACTTTTCTACAAGTTTATTGTAGACTTTGCTGGATGGTTTTACTAATTAATTAAACAGAGTAACTGAACAACATTATCACAATCTTGCTACCACTGGTAATTATAAACAACGAATTATACAAAATAATTAAGTTAATATTTAATTATTTTGTATAACTCATTGATATTTAGATGGCATTAACAACTTTAATGACAAAAACTATTAGTATTTATACAATGTTTCTCTCTGTAATATACAAGAAGGGACAGAAATATCTGAATGTGTGTAAAAAAGAACAGGAAGTGATCTTTGTTATAATAATAATTTAATAAAATATTCACATAGCAACATGCTCAGGCCTGGAAACGAGTAAATAATCAACCTGGATACAGTGAAACTGATATTCCTGGTATAAAATTCATTAACGCAGCCTGTCCTATTTAGATGTACCCAAAAATTCGGGCTCTAGATTTTAGGGTAGTTTTAAAGGTTGTGATATTCAGGATTTCAAAACTATACTTAACATGACTAAAATGTGATTAGACAAACAAAAGATGTGCATGTATGCGAGTCTAAAAATAGCCTAACTGGAAGAATTTCATCCAAAACTATAAGTAAACCTTATCCAATTATTGTACCCTTCACCAATTTAGCTTTTTGTCATGATGTCATCACAAGTTATCAATGTATGATAGCAACTGGCCATGACAATAGGTGAAAACAAACCAATTAGCATCACTTGCTAATCGTCAGTAGGAAAGTAATAATAATATTCATCATTGAGTTTCACACATCTTGAAGATTTAATTTTGATCTTCAATATCACTTTAGTTTTCAGTTATGATTGCTAGCTACATGGTCCAGAATCATAGACACGATCTTGATTTGCACAGTTACTTTCCTGGGAAGTTTGATTTTGAAATGTAAAATTAAATTTTTTCCAGATGTATAAAACAGTTTGATGATTAATGCATGTTTCACTTTCCATTTTACAACATGTAGTTTAACAAAGCTTATAAACGTGATGTATTATTATAACACTTGTGTATTGTTTTTGTTCCTTTTCCTTTTCTGGATCTCAAGATAATAGCAACATGAAAGTTGAACAATAAGAACAAAATTTATTATTTTCTGATGAACACCAACAATAAGTGTCAGGTTAACATGGGAAATGCATCAAACCTTTTGAAAAGCTGCATGTTACTCGGAAACATGCTCACTAGCAAAAAAACAAAACAAAAAAAACAGCTATATTAATTTATAATAAAAATAGAAATTACTTTTTTAGGTATTACAACTTTAAAATGTACAGTACTGTTCTGTACTGCAATACAATGAAAGTTCACTAATGCTTTAATACACATGATCGTTGAACAATCGTATTAACTAAATTTGCTAAAACACAGCTTTGCATCTTCATGGTGTAGCTGTCACAACCTCATGCTGCACAGGATTTTGGCATTGCTTTATGGTAACGAGTTTTTGTAAACAAGATGGCTAATCACCTGCAGGAAACATGAGTAAGACCTGAATGTCAGGATAGTGTTAAAAGGTTAATACCTCAAAGTATGAACAATTACTTGAAATTCACTGTCAAATAATGTTATAGATCCTGTGACATGACTGGCAAGGGGTGTTGGAAAACTCTACTTATAATATAATAAAATAATATGTTTGATAAAAATATCACGTGAAACTTCAAGTAATTAAAACTGAGAAAAAATAACACATTGTCTGATGTGTCAGTTTGCTACATAGTATCGAACAGCGAAATACCAAAACTCACTGTTTATAGTTATAAGAAATTTTACATTTATGATACCATGATATATAATTATAACTCAGAAACATGGTAAAATGTTATAAGCATTATCCTGTAGACTTTTTGTTAAACTAAAGCTTAAATTAAATGCTAAGACTTAGTAAAAATAAAAATAGAGATACTGTACGAACACAATGTCACTGACAGAGTATAATTATCTGGGATCCCCTACTAATAGTAATACTATCACTAACAGTAACACACTGCCACGTGAAATTATTTAAACTACGAACAAGTCGTAAAGCTTTATAATTTATATTCCTAACAAATACCTTCAATCGTGAGAAATGAAATCGTAAATATACACTAAATAAATGGAACCTAAGGTAAGTTTATAGTATTTTACTTATTTATCTACATGCAAAGTAAAAATCACTCACCAACTTCTTCTGTAGCCCTAAACTCCCATGCGCTGCTTGTTTACTTGTGAAAGACGAATGGCCCTCTAGCAAGAAATATTCAAATAAAAATTACATATTTAGAAAGTAGATATTTCTCGAAAAACATATAATACATGTAAAAACCAATGATATTTCTCAATTTATCGTGTGAGATGGGTTTAAAAAAATAACTACAAGTTAGTATATGATATACTGCTTAAATCCTTTTAATACTAATAATTTTTTTCTAGAATCCAAAATACATTCAATCATAAGAGTCGAAATTGCCCCCCAGTGGCGCAGCGGTATGTCTTCGGACTTACAACGCTAGAATCCGGGTTTCGATACCCGTGGTGGGCAGAGCACAGATAGCCCATTGTGTAGCTTTGTGCTTAACTTCAAACAAACAAACAAAGAGTCGAAATTGCTTATGTTAAATTTGTAAATATTATTTCATCAAGGCATGAAACGATTAAAATTATTATTATTATTATTACATTTTCAATAAAAGATTTTTAGTTGCAGTAGAACAAAAATAAAATAAAGATTTATTTGTTTATTCAATTTCGCACAAAACTACAAGAGTTTGTTTTAAATTTCGCGCAAGCTACACGAGGATTATCTCCGCTAGCCGTCCCTAATTTAGCAGTGAAAGACTAGAGGGAAGCAAACTAGTCATCACCACCCACCGCCAACTTTTGGTTAAATCTATTAACAACGAATAGAGGGATTGATCGTCACATAATAACGCCGCTACGGCTAAAAGGGCGAGCATGTTTGGTGGGATGGGGATTCGAACCCGCGACCCTAGTTTGAAGTTATGGGATTAAGGGAAGGCACCTATCGCTCAAATTGTGGGATATTTTTGTGTGATCAAATAGTGGGACTTACAGCGCACCAACGGCCCTAAAGTGAAATTTTGCAGCAGCGGGACGCGAACCACAAACCCTCACTCCGAACAGGATAACCATTAGACAACAACCAATCATTATTTAAGATGGGGAATTAAAGTTCTTGTTCGTTTCAGATTTTGGAAAATGTGAATTTTAAAGCAACTGAAACAAAATATTTTGTGATTTTTTTAAAAACTTTCCCTCGTGATCCTTATCTTTACCAAATAGATTAATCAACTTTTTGTATAATAGATATCCCCAAAATCAGAAACGTATTAATGATTGTCACTATAACTCCCCTACCCCCTCTGGCTACTGTTATATGGCAGTTATACAAGAGGCACAATTACACGAGACATTTCTTAAAGTGATCTTATTATAATTCAAATATTACTTTAAGTTTTACATTTGTTATAAGACATTAATATTAGGCCTATTGCATTTTTGCTATGAAGTACAGAACTACACAATGAGCTGCAAAATGTGACATTATTAGTTGATAAAGAGTAGCCCAAGAGTTGGCTATGGGTAGTTTTGCTAGTCTTTAGACTGTCACTTAAAAATAACGGATAGCTAGTGCAAATAATCCTCGAGTACCTTTGCACGAAGTCCAACAAACAGTGTGAAGAATGCTATGTTACAGATTGGACTTTGTACTCAGCGTTTCTTAACATAATCTCAAGTACCATTTACGTATCCGGGTGTTTTAAAGCTCAGATAATTCATGTCTATACAGCTCTCAAGATAAGCTTATCATTTTTCTGAGAAAATTAAAACAGTTTTGGTCGATTTCATAAACAGTTACATGTAGTTTTTGAATACGAATTTGGAGATCTAACAGAAATAGGAAAGAAACTAACTGCTCCCAACTTGTACTTAAGTGTGTAACGGACTACAGATGTAACAGAAATAGGAAAGAAACTAACTGCTCCCAACTTGTACTTAACTTAAGTGTGTAACGGACTACAGATGTAACACAAACAGGAAAGAAACTAAGTGCTCCCAACTTGTACTTAAGTGTGTAACGGACTACAGATGTAACACAAACAGGAAAGAAACTAAGTGCTCCCAACTTGTACTTAAGTGTGTAACGGACTACAGATGTAACACAAACAGGAAAGAAACTAAGAGCTCGTTGCTTTACTATCCTTCTTTTTAAGAGCTCCTGATGAGGAGATAATTGAAAAAATGTGGATACAAGACTTTCCAGGATCGAAGATAAATTTAGAACAGAAATTTAAATCGTTTACAAAAACAGTCTACTTAAATGTGTTTATCATGGTCTTACTTTCATCCAGAAATGTGCTTTCTGTAACTCTAAAGTTTCAAATGAGGGATTACAACTCTTCAACTTTAAACTTCGACAAAGGAAAAATAACCACAGATATTCCCCAACAAATATATAGCACCATGTTACAGAAAAACAAAGATGGCGTTGTTTTAATAGGTAAGATTTTTAAAACTAATTTAGTAAAAACCTTCTACCAAGTATCATTTTGAATATAATTTCTATATAAATATTAAACTTTAGAAGTAATGAAAACACTACTGTCTGTCAAAAAACAAGAAGAAATAAGTAAATACACTGAAATTAAAAATGTCCAACAGATATACCATTTTTATACCGGTGATTATTTTACTATAGCTCTAAGCGTGTTTACAGTGTTTAGGTCATAAAACGCCTACACCTCACATCATAAAGATCATTTATCATAAACTTTAACTCCAACAACGTACGTGTAGGTGGTAAAGAAAAAAAAGAAGGGTGGATGTTTAATAAACACTCCACCAGAGTGCGGATATTTTATGCTAGGCCTATATTAGTTCACCTTCTAGCTTTGTGTGTATGTTCAGCTAACTCCTACCACAGTTTTGGAGCTAGCAGGATCAAACTTGACAGACGGACTCAAGGGAGCTCATAGGTCTCGAGACCACCCTTCGGAAGGTCTCGGACCATTTGGGTTTCCATGTTTAACAGGACTCGAAAACGAGGCCGGCTAAGTTAAAAAAAACACACACAAAAAAAAAAGCATATAAGATTATCCTAATAACATCTTTGGAGATGCCGAAATGAAAGCAACAATAAATATAACAGCATCTCAGATTTCTAACTTATTCTAACTGTTACTTTTTTTTATAACCTAGTAATTTCAACATTTTTGTCTTTAAAATCTATATACTGATATCTAATCAAATAATTTTGAGACACTTGATCCAGACATGATCGTTAGAAAGGTCAGATCCAGAAGTGATCTTTAGAAATACACGACCCCGATGTGACCATCAGAAAGGCCTAATGTTAACGTCATCGTTAAAAGGTGCGTTTAAAGTGCATCACGTAACATCACTTACACTTCAGGATATGTGAAAGTAGTAATGTGTTAACTACTCAGGGTTATTTAGAGCTAATATAGCGTAATTTAGCTACTGATTTTTTAAACTGATGGGTCAACCAATGAAATTACCCAAAGTAACCGATCAGTCAATGGAATCTTTGTGTGTGTGTGTGAAATAATCCAGTATAGTTGTCGTTTGAATATAGCTCATGTATATTTATTGATATTATTTTACTGTAGCGTTTATCCTTGAGTGAGCATGTTTTCTCATAATAAATAAGTTTTAGAATATGTGTAACAGGTTTGATAAACTGACAATAAGATATAATTAAATCTTAAGTTTCAAGCTGGTTTTAATGTGAAATTTAAATTATATTAATCATATCATCATATAATATCTAGGCCAACCAAACGCCATTTTTTTTCTCATGATTTCCTATCTCTTAATATGCGATCTTTTTATTTTGAGTCATTGTTTTTTAATATAAAAATCAGAATTATGAAAATGATATTTTCACGAGTTGTGAAAAAACAGTTTGTGTAAGTACTTTAAAATTTGGTTGTTTGTTTGTTTTTGTAGATTTCTGATTGACACACAGAATTAAATTATATACATGCACACAAAAACTGTTTCGCCCTACAGGCGGAAATATTCGGTGATGTAGTCTCAACGCCTGAAGTATAGCCTCAACCCAGGAGAGTTCAATTTCAAAAATGTACAGATTTTATTTATTTCTTTTTTTCTAGTTCCGACTATATTATTGTGTAGTTTGTTCGACTGTCAAATTCATGTTTCCCATTAGTAACAACAATAACACCAATAATGTTTATATCCAGATTTCAATAATGTACATGTTACAATTAACCCTAACAGAAACAATCATTAAACCAACGGCCATAAATCTAAGGTAAATATTAATAGTTTCGGTTTGAGTTTACTTACTAATTAAATATATTTCATTACAAGTTACAGCTTTTAGAGTAAGTAAAATTTGTATTTAGAACAGGTACGACGTTTCGATCATTCTCAAGTACAAAAAAACTTATGTACTTGAGAATGATCGCACCAGTAGTCGAAACGTCGTACCTGTTCTAAAAACAAATTTTACTTACTGTAAAAAATGTAACTTGTAATAAAATAAGGTAAATATTGTTTACTTGAGGTTTTATGGGAAAGATCTGAAGGTACCCACTTTTTTGCACCTTGAATCGCCGACAGTTACACAGGCATTATTAGTTCAGAGACTGAAACATAGATGATAAAGAAAAGATGCTTCGATTGTCCAGGTCCTTCTTTAGGCTTACAACCGAGTGGCAACAGATTATTGAAAATAAAACTAAAAATTTACGTACTTACTTAAATAATAAATTAAAAAACTACAAATTTATAGTTAAAATTAGGTGATTGTATACGTCATTAACCACGACAACAGTTTGTATTTTTTACACTTAACATGAACTTTTCGACCAGTTTTAGTTAATGTTCTACAGGAACTCTTAAATGATAGAATGAAATAGTGATAGAACAAGTTAAACACCTACATCAACCTAATTGTTAGAGTTATTTTTTCTTTCGTTCAGAGACGAGAAAGACAGAAGGCCTAGTTGGCAAGAAAAGTGAAACAGTTTGTCAGGATGATGAAATTTTAGTGAATTCTTTAGGTTGTTTTAAAAAAGGTAAGTTATCACTTGTTAATTAAAGAGAAAGTCGTATTTGCATTCCTTGTCGGGAACCATTCGAAATTTTGATTTGATAAAATCAGCGTCTAGCGATAGGGCTCACTTTTTTTTTATCGTTGAATTTACAAAGTAATATTCTAAAAAACAGTTACTTAGAGAACATTTCGGTCGTAGTATTTTGTTACAGATTTAAGACCAGTGTTTACGCCACCCCTTTTTTTTGTTTATAACCGTGGACAAAAGTTATTCGTCAGTTTTCACGTAAACGAAAGGAATGATGGGTAATTCTTGTAATGACAGTACTTCCCTTTTTAACGTCAAATTAAAGATCGGTTCCTCAGTTGATCTCCAGGCTTTTTAATCATAATCAAATTCGTTATCACAAACCCTCGACAATTTCAAAACTGAGCAACAATACAACCAGGATGACACGCCGTGAAAAAAAAAAGTATCGGCTTAATGCAACTATAGGAAAACAGTATAAACAAAACGTTGTTAGATTTATATGTTTAAAAAACAAGCGAACAATATATGACCATAATGTAAAAAGAATAATTATGAAATCTCTTGTAGAGAATATAATGACGTCTATGGCTGTAAGGATAGTTCATGACTTTTTCGAGTTGCTCGCTAGGGGGCATCTGGCCTTGCAGTTTTCGTTGCAATGGCTTTCCATGGCAAGTAAAACTTCATCGAAAAATAGAATCTGACAGAGTTTACCGTTATTTAAAAGTTATTTATTACGTCAGTAGCCAAGGGCATCGGCGTTGCTCATATAATATAAAAGTGGTTGTTTTTAGCATTTAACAAAGAAAATAAAGTATATTGTCATATATATATAAATGTATAGGATTTTCTTGTATATAAGGCCGAAAAAACAGCAATAAAGAGCCCTCTATAAAATGGCTTTATTCGGGTGTTTAAAATCAAAAAGCTTTAAACCTTAGATATTTCCGGATGCAGAAGTTTTTTGTCCCAAACCTACAAAAGGACTACGTGCGCTAGCTGTCCCTAACTTTCAGGTTATAAAATAAAGAGAAAGCAGCTAGTCAACAGCATCTACCTCCTAACTTTGAGCTACGTTGATCGAATAGTGGGATTTAACCGTCACTCTTATAACACACTCACTGCTCCACATTATGGAGCACGTTTCTGTGTCAATGTCTTGTGTATATATTATTGAAGTGCGGTGAAGGGCAGCGCGTGCACACCGGGGAAGTTTGGTTTGTTTTGAATTTCGCGCAAAGCTACACGAGGGCTATCACCACCCACCGCCAATTCTTGAGCTACTCTTTTATCACCGAATAGTGGGATTGACTATCATATTTAACGCCCTAACGGCTAAAAGGGCGAGCATGTTTGGTGGGACGGGGATTCGAGCCCAAGACCCTCAGATTGCGAGATGAGCGCCCTAACTACCTGGCCACATCGAAGAACAATCCGATCTGTCCATGTGATCATCACTTTACTGTAAGTAATGGAAGCTGTTTAAGTTCGTACGATATTTTACAAGATTTAGACAAAACAGTTTTCTTGAATATCCGTGTCACTATGAGTTGACTTTTAAGATTTAGTCTGACTAAGGATAATAAAGCAAACGTTGGATCGGTGTCCCTTAATTTGAAGATCCCGATGAAATCTGGTTTCAAAGTGTTCAATTATTAATCTCAGGCTTAGAACATGTGGTAATCTCAAGGTTAAACCTAATATCCGAAGCAATAGAGGTTCGAGGATTTAGTGGGTAGAAGGAGAAATGTAATGGTACATAGTGGAAGAAGAAAAAACTCTGTGTGAGACTAAAGCAAAAACAAAAACTCAAGAAAACAAAAGAATGTTGATTGTAAATAGGCTTAGCTCAAAAGTGGAAGAAGAAAACTCTGTGTGAGACTAAAGCAAAAAAAAACACTCAAGAAAACAAAAGAACGTTGATTGTAAATAGGCTTAGCTCAAAAGTGGAAGAAGAAAACTCTGTGTGAGACTAAAGCAAAAAAAACACTCAAGAAAACAAAAGAACGTTGATTGTAAATAGGCTTAGCTCAAAAGTAAAAACAAACTGTATTTAAAGGTTAATTCACACAAAAATATGTTAAATACAGGAAAATATAAAGATATATATCCTATAACTTCGTCTTTATTAACTTATCTGGCTGTGAAACAAAGAACTACATAAACTAAATATATTTCGCTTTTAAATCTGCTCAAAAGTGTAAAAGTAGTGATACGTATATATTTGTTCCAAATCAGTGAATAAAATATAATAAACAATAAAATGATTCATAGAAGTTACATTTTCATCTTCTTAAGTTAAATCATCAAAATTATTACTAAATTTATATTAGTTTTTTCATAATATCACAAGATCCTCTGTTTACAAAATAAACTATAATTTTATATAAAATCTTACTTTCTTCGACAGATGAACCTAGTTTCAACGCCACCAGAGTTCCCATAGTCGTAGGAGTGGTAACGAGCATTGTTGTTGCGGTTCTTATTATTGTTTCGATCTTAATGTTATCGAGGAAGTAAGTATCATAATTACTGTTGCTTGAACACGTACGGTATAAGAACGATTAGAGAGAAACAAAATGCATTTTATATGTCATAAACGACTGTTCAGACACAGCCGAAAAAGAAAAAGGTATGAAGCCGAGCTAGTGTCTTTATGCTTTTAGTGACAAATCGGCACGCAAGCACATGCGCGAAGTTTTTGAAACGGATCGAACTTTCTTTTTTCAGAAAAGTTTTATTTTGAAACTGCAGATATTTTTTTTGCCGACATTTCTCTTAAGTTGACCATTTCAGATTTAAGATCAGAGGTAAAAATGACATTTCAACTCTATCTTTTGTCTCCCACAAGTCACTGCCCAAGAGACCTTTTGCTCAACACCAGAACTCATCACTTGGGCAGGACGATGAGATGGAATTTTTTTTTTCCTCTGTCATTTCATTACAGCCCATAGAGCTGGCAGGTCAATAAAGGGTTGTGCCCTCTCTTCGGCCGTAAGGTAAAACTTCAGAGCAATAGTGGCTATGAATAATGGATGAACAGGTTTAAATTTTACTGTGCTGAAAATGATTGAGAAGCTGAAATGATGCTCATTAAAATATAAAAACTTGATTAAATCAGGTAAGTTAGATATGAGAAAAGGATAGATATACGGAGTCATAGGGGGAAACAATATTTCCTGGATCTCCATCTGGAAGAGACATCTTATACATATTGAAGATACTTTCAGCTGGAGGAAATATCTTTAGTGGAGGATGAACTGGAGAACTTAGTAAGTCGGCAAAGATGACATTCTGAGCTTGGAAGCAGCGAGTGATATATTTGATACCAAACTTCTGGAGATAATGAATATTGGGAAATGTGATGCGATCATACAACTCTTGGGTTGGACAGGGTACTTATGATGTCAAAGGCCAGGCGGGGGGCGTGGCTTGCTAGCACAATAACTCTTTCGTAATAAAGACGTTAAAGAGGTAAGGTCATAGGTAATGGGAGGAGGAGAGGTGAATTCAAACCCCGAGCGATTTAGACATCGCAGAAGGTTGAGTCATCGTATGGCCTTGAATTTGACTGTTTTAAAATGAGCCTTCAGTGTCATATATTATCGAAGGTGGTACCCAAATGTTTAACTATATGAAACAATTGTACGTTAACGTGGGATGTTTGAACACTAAAAAGATCGGGATTTCGGTTTGGTCAATATTTCCTATTGCTTGGACCAAACATAGTAGCTTTGGGTATAAGCCGCCAGTGTCTACACCAAACAAGCAAGTGATTGGCTACTTGTTCTAGAATCCTGTTAAAGATGACCATGGTCAAGCAGGTAACTATGGCAGTATCATCAGCATACTAAAAAATCTGGACAGGACGTGGATGCATATCTGAAAAATGTTGGATATGGATAAGAGGAGAGAGAAGTGAACGTTGTTGAATAACACCTGCATGGACGCCAAAGAGTCTTGAGAGTGTGTCTTCCATAGAGATGACTGTCTGATGATCCATACGGAATGACTCGAACCTATGAAAGTGGGATAGACAAAGAACGCGACTGGAAGATCAAACCATGATGCCAGACCGACTCAGAAGCCTTTTTAAAATCGAAAAGTATCATACAAGATGGTCAGTTTGTATTAAAATGGTTGGGATTGGTGCTTGAGAAGTGGAGACTTTGATCATGTGTATGAAGGAGGAGAAGAAATCCAGCTTGTGTATTTGGCAATATTTTATGGTCTGCGACAAATTGGCGTGGATGCTTAACGAGGATACCCCCAAAGGTTTTACTGAATACTCTTGTGAGACACATTGGATAGTAGAAGCTAATACTGAAGGAGACTTATTGGGCTTCGAGAACAGTAGGATTACTGAGAACTTTCAAGGTTGTGAATAAAATCCAGTGTGAAGAAAAACGGTAAAGAGAATTTCCAGAAGATAAATAACCTCCTAAAGATGTGTAACTACATCCAGACTTGGTGCAACTAGATGGATATCAACCATCGTTTCTGGAGCATCTATATAAATGTTTTCTAGGATGTGATTAAAATTGGGGGTAAGTTCAGGTGGAAACATCGCCTGAATCATCTAGGATGTGATTAAAATTGGGGGTAAGTTCAGGTGGAAACATCGCCTGAATCATCAAAGAAAGTGCAGGGGGTATTGTTGTAGAGCTTGAAAGGTGTCTCGTGAAAGGTTGGGAAGAGATAGGCTTTGCCAAGGGAGGTTGTTGTACCATTTGTGATTGGATAAATGAGAGAGAACAGTTGGACAGTCAGTAAGTTAAACCGACGCCAGTATTGTGATTTGTTTGTTTGTTTGTAGTTAAGCACAAAGCTACACAATGGGCTATCTGTGCTCTGCTCATCACGGGTATCGAAACCCGGATTCTAGCGTTGTAAGTCCACAGCCACACCGCTGTGCCACTGGGAGGGTCCCAGTATTGTGAAGTACTGGAGAAATTCCAGAGTTGATTACAGACTTTTGGCCACTTCAATCTTCTAGCTGCCATAATATAACTACGTGCTGTACGTTCATTACTTCTATGATGCTGGGGAATGACTGGATCTCGGGATTGAGAATATTCACGAAACTGACAAGTGGAGAGGTGAAGTAATGGCAACACTCGACGTGGTGATGGGGGTTTATGAGGATTATAAAAAATGGTTGGAATATGTCTGAACAAAAGATTCTCAGAAACATTATCTATATATGCAGTATAATACTTTACAAGCTACGGTTTAAATACTGAAACATTAAAAACCAATACACCTAAAATTTATGATAAAAATCACGTTAAACTCCAGATTCCTTTAAACTTGTTTGTTTTGAATTCAAGTCAGAGGTGGGTAAAAATATCATCTCAGATCTGTCGTTTGTCTCCCACAAGTCACTACCCAAGAGGCATTTAGTTCAATTACAGAACTCATCAGTTAGGCAGGACAATAGAAGTTAAAAGGCGACACTTTTAAAGTATCATATAACACTGAATGCTCCCGTCTTCTAAATGCTGTGTTTTGATTTCTTTGAAAATCTATTTGTATTAATATTAGTTCCTTTGTCAAGGAGTGTGGTACATTTTCTAGTCATAAGTCTACCCACGACGTCACTCCACTGTATAATATGAAAATTGTTCTTATAACATAGAACTAACCCTTTCTACTAGCTATGTGTGTGTCAGTGGGGAGTTGTTGTTTTACCGTTTGTACTAGTTATGTGTGTCAGTGTGGAGTTGTTATTTTACCCTTTGTACTAGCTATGTGTGTCAGTGGGGAGTTGTTATTTTACCCTTTGTACTAGCTATGTGTGTGTCAGTGGGGAGTTGTTATTTTACCCTTTGTACTAGCTATGTGTGTGTCAGTGGGGAGTTGTTA